CAGAAACTCAAGGGTGCAGTAAGCCACGATCACACCACTGCACTCCAACCTAAGAAACAGAAAGATCCGGCCGGGCGCCGTGGCTCAAGCCTGTAATCCCAGCACTTTGGGAGGCCGAGGCGGGTGGATCACGAGGTCAAGAGATCGAGACCATCCTGGTCAACATGGTGAAACCCCGTCTCTACTAAAAATACAAAAATTAGCTGGGCATGGTGGCGCACGCCTGTAGTTCCAGCTACTCGGGAGGCTGAGGCAGAAGAATTGCTTGAACCCAGGAGACAGAGGTTGCGGTGAGCCGAGATCGCGCCATTGCACTCCAGCCTGGGTAATAAGAGCGAAACTCTGTCTCAAAAAAAAAAAAAAAAAAGAAAGAAACAGAAAGATCTTGTCTCAAAAAAAAAGAAAAAAAATACAAGTAGAATGCTTCATTTTCTTCCCTGCTTCATTCTTCCTGTTGGTTGGAATGAAAACAAAAGGCCTGGAGCTCCAACAACCATCTTGTATACCAAGCGGTGACCCAGAGAACGAAAGGAATCCATGCTAGAGCCACAGAGAAGTGAAGCCTAGAACTCTGACCCATGGTATTTTGTAACACTAAAGACCTTTCAATGCTTGACTCAGAAATAAGCTTATATTTTCCCAAACTGCTGATATTTGGGGATCTCCTTTATTTGTAGCTGAATCTAATCCTAAGCAATGCATATGCTTTATCTAAGTACTTCTTTACCGTGTATTTAGCGAGATTTTTTACAGTAACTATTTTTAGGCTTTGCAGGTCATGTATGATCTCTCTCTCTTAAAAATGTAAAAACTGTTCCTAGCTCATAGGCTTACAAAGACAAACTGCACTCAGCCACATTTGGCCCACGGGCCACAATCTGCAGATCCAGGTTTTATGGCAGTAATGCAAATGTTTTTTGAGCTTCTGAACTCAATATACAAACAAAATTTTACTGGTATCCAAATATGTAAAACGGAGCAAGATTTAATCTAGTTGTAAGAGAGGCGGGAGAGCTTGAATCCTCCTGCCAATTAATCTGTTTCCTTTTCTCCTCTTTATCCTCACCCCTCACCCCCACATCTCCTTCCCCTAACTGGGCTTCATCAATCTCCAGGGTTTCTTAGAACACAATTTGAAAGCCACTTATCCATGGCCAGGCATGATGGCTCACACCTGTAATCCCAGCACCTTGGGAGGCCAAAAGGGGTGGATCATTTGAGGCCAGCAGTTCAAAACCAGCTTGGCCAACATGGTGAAGCCCCATCTCTACTAAAAATACAAATATCAGCCAGGTGTGGTAGCATGCACCTGTAATCCCAGCTATTTAGGGGGCTGAGGAACAAGAATCACTTGAACCTGGGAGGCAGAAGTTACAGTGAGCCGAGATCATGCCACTGCACTCAAGCCTAGGTGACAGAGCAAGACTCTGTCTCAAAAAAAAAAAAAAAAAAAAAAAAAAAAGAAAGGAAAAGAAAAGAAAATCACGACCTGACCATTCTTGGTGGTTTACACCTGTAATCTCAGCACTTTGGGAGGCCAAGGCAGGAGGATCACAAGGTCAACAGTTCAAGACCAGCCTGTCCAACCTGGTGAAACCCCATCTCTACTAAAAACACAAAAAAAAACAAAGTAGCTGAGCAGGGTGGCACATGCCTGTAATCCCAGCTACTCAGGAGGCTGAGGCAGGAGAACTGCTTGAACAGGGACCCAGGAGACTCAGGTGGCAGTGAGCCAAGATTGAGCCACTGTACTCCATCCTGGGCTACAGAGAGACACTCCATCTCAAAAAAATAAAATAAAATCACTCATCCATGACCTAGGACTTGGCAGTCTCTGTCATCTGTTTATTCATATGTTGCAGTTAATCTAAACTGGAGATTTTAGGAAAATCTTAGATATGTTGCTAGGTTATCTTTCAGAGGGGGAGGTATACAAGTATATATACATTCATGCACGCATAAGCACATATTTATTTATTTTAATGAGAAGGGGGAAATAGGCTATTTTCAACAAAAAATCCAATTGCTAATAATTATCCCTATAAGTAAAAATGAGTGATACTACCATTCAAGTCAGTAGGCAGATAAACTTTATACTATTTCCTTCTATTAACAAATGCTGAGGCTGGGCGCGGTGGCTCATGCCTGTAATCCCAGCACTTTGGGAGACCAAGGTGGGTGGATCACTTGAGGTCAGGAGCTCGAGACCAGCCTGGCCAGCATGGCAAAACCCCATCTCTACTAAAAATACAAAAAAGTAGCCAGGCTTTGTGTCATGTACCTATAATCCAAGCTACTAGGAGGCTGACGCAGAAGAATCACTTGAACCTGGGAGGCGGAAGTTGCAGTGAGCTGAGATCACACCACTGCACTCCAGCCTTGGCAACAGAGTGAGACTTGGTCCCCAAAAAAAAAACAGTGGCTAAAATTAACATGCTCACCACAAGAAAAAAAAAAAAAGATAAGCTGGTAAGGTAACGGACGTGTTAATTAACTTGACTGAATTTTTCTACAATGTGTACATAGATCAAAATATCACATTGTACCCCATAATATACATAATTACTATTTGTCAGTTAAAATAAATAGGCTGGGTGCAATGGCTCACGCCTATAATCTCAGCATTTTGGGAGGCCAAGGCAGGTGGATCACCTGAGGTCAGGAGGTCAAGACCTGCCTGGCCAACATAGTGAAACCCTGTCTCTACTAATAATATAAAAAAAAATTAGCCGGGTGTGGTGGCACACACCTGTGATCCCAACTACTCAGGGAGAGAGGGATTGCTGAGGCAGGAGAATTGCTTGAACCTGAGGGGTGAAGGCTGCAGAGAGCAGAGACTGCGCCATTGCACTGCAGCGTGGGCAACAGAGTGAGACTCTGTCTCAAAAAATAATAAATAAATAAATATGGAAAAAATAGAAAAATAAATTTGGAAAGCAGAAGCTTATAGCAAAAGCAACTGCAAAGAGACTGAGGTGGGAACAAGGTTGGCTTACTGGAGAAGGAGAAACCGGGGCTCAGAGAATAGTGAGGAAGGGGAGACAAGGAAACTCGAAGCTGGCCTTGGCCACCCCGAAGGCCAGAGAGCAAGCCCCGCAGTGGGAGGAGGACCTAGCGCACCAGACCACCTCTGGAGTCTCCCGAAGGACACTACAAGGAGGAGTTCTCGCCACAGAGCCGAAGCTGCCCCATTTTGCACAGCCTGAGTTTATATCATCCCCCAGACTCAGGGAGAGCCTCTGTGCAGCCCTCTCCTACCGGAAAGACCGGATCTTCAGGCCACTCCCAACTTTACCCAACTTACCCTTCCCAAGAGTAGCATTGGGAATCCTTCTTGGGCTGACTCAACAGCGAACCCCAAGCCACCACAGACAGCCTGGCCGTACAGGCCCGCAAGTTCAACTCACCTCCAAACCCACTTAGGGGGCATGCGCTTGGCTTGCCTGACCTGGGGGAAGCCGTTCCCTGCCGGGAACAGCAGCTTCTGTATGTGCTGAGCTACATAAGGTAAGTGGCTGCACATGTTTACATTCTGTCTGTCAAGTCTGTGTAATGTGGTTTTCAATGACTAAGGTTCCTTTACTGGGACAAAGGCAGTAAAGACTGAAGACCTTAAAAAAAAGGTACCCATGTTAATTTTTCAATATTATTTCATTTTATTATCATATGCCTATCAGACTGCCAAATTCAAAAAAAACCTTCTCCAATATTTGAAGTTTCATTTCTCCTAGTGTATTAAGAGCTTGAAGAAAAGGGAAAAAAATCATCTGAAACTTAATGACATCCTGAAGTTTAAAAATCATTTAGCATTTTCTTTTTTTTTTTTTTTTTCTCCTCTAGAGTGAGTCTCACTCTGTCACCCAGGCTGGAGTACAACAGCTCGATCTTGGCTCACTGCAACCTCCGCCTCCCAGGTTCAAGTGATTCTCCTGCCTTGGCCTCCCCAGTAGCTGGGATTACAGGGGTGCACCACCACACCTGGTTAATTTTTGTATTGTTAGTAGAGATGGGGTTTCACCATGTTGGCCAGGCTGGTCTCAAACTCCTGACCTCAGGTGACCCACCACCTTGGCCTCTCAAAGTGCTGGGATTACAGATGTGAGCCACCGTGCCCAGCCTCATTCAGCATTTTCAAAAGTCCATTTGGGAGGCCAAGGTAGGAGGATTGTTTGAGCTCAAAGGTTCAAGATTATCCTGGGCAACATGGAGAAACCCTGTCTCTCCAAAAAATACAAAATCCCTGTAGTCCCAGCTACTCAGGAGGCTGAGGTAGGAGTATTGCTTGAACGTGGGAGGTTGAGGTTGTAGTGAAGCAAGATTGCACCACTGCAATCCAGGCTGGGTGACAGAGTGGGACCCTGTCTCAAAAGAAAAAAATAAATAAATAAAAGATGAGTTCAGGGGTTTACCTTTCAAGCATCCTAATTGAACTAATTGAATAAGTCTAAGGATAATGGCAGTTTGCGCTCATTTAGGGAATCAGTAATCCTATATGAACAAGGATCCCTAAAGAACTGATTATGTTCTGGAACGTTATAGACATTCTGTGGCACCATAGTGAACAGAATATTTAAGGTTTTCTGAAGGCATTTGATATCTGTCAGACACTAGGCAAACTGCTAACTTGAGGCATTTCACAATTTCAACGTTAGATAGCTACATTCATTTCAGTGATGTCATACCTTTTCAAAGATAGATTTTTTGCTTTGATATTAAAAAAAAAATCAGGCAGGGTGCAGTGGCTCATGCCTGTAATCCCAGCACTTTGGGAGGCTGAGGTGGGCGAATCACAAGATCAGGAGATCCAGACCATTCTAGCCAACATAGTGAAACCCTGTCTCTACTAAAAATACAAAAAAAAAAAAAAAAAACTAGCTGGGCATGGTGGCACATGCCTGTAATCCCAGCTACTCAGGAGCTGAGGCATGAGAATTGCTTGAACACAGAGGTGGAGGTTGCAGTGAGCCGAGGTCCCACCGCTGCACTCCAGCCTGGGCAACAGAGCAAGACTGCATCTCAAAAAAAATAAAATCAGGCCGTGCACAGTGGCTCACGCCTGTAATCCCAGCACTTTGGGAGGCCAAGGCAGGTGGCTCACTTGAGGTCAGGAGCTCAAGACCAGCCTGGCCAACATGGCGAAACCTTGTCTCTACTAAAAATACAAGAATTAGCTGAGCATAGTGGCACATGTCTGTAATCCCAGCTACTCAGGAGCTGAAGCATGAGAATTGTTTGAACCCGGAGGTGGAGGCTGCAGTGAGCCGAGATGGTGCCCCTGCACTCCAGCCTGGGCAACAGAGCTAGACCCTGTCTCAAAAAAAAAAAAAAAAAAAAAAAAACCTCACATGAAACAGTGCGGAACAAGAAATGAAGGTGGCTGTGTCTCATCTGATTCCAAAATTTGAGAAGTTGTGCAGGGTATGTACCAGCAGGTACATTCAATGTAGCACAGTGCCCAACACATGCTACATGCCCAAAAATATTAGTTAAATGAATGCGCAAATGAGTGACTCCAGCTGGGAGGTTTAGGAAGATCTAAGAAGCATATTTGTCCTGAGTGCAGTGGCTCACGCCTATGATCCCAGCACTTTGGAGGCCAAGGCCGGCAGATCACCTGAGGTTGGGAGTTCAAGACCAGCCTGGCCAACATGGTGAAACCCTGTCTTTAAAAAAATAAACAAATAAATAAAAAGAAAAAGAAAAAAATAAACTTTTTTTTTTTTGAGATGGAGTCTTGCTCTGTCACCCAGGCTG